TGAAATGGATATACCACAACCCAAGACTTCTTGTCTGACAGGAAAGCAGCAGCCACAAAGGCATGCCAGTGACATGCAACAAAAACCTAAGCAGTGGAAGCAACACAGCAATAAATTGCATATTAACCTGCTGAACTAAATCTTATTTCAAGAAAATGTGTAGTGCCAGGCAGTCCAGACAACCTCAAGTGAGGTTGTACTTCATCCTTCAGAGATGCATTATCAAAGAGGGTTTGCAAATTCATATGGGCACAGCTTTAACACCTTATTAAAGGTGCCTTGAAGCCACGAATATTAAAACCCACCAACATCTGAAAGCTCTCACAGCTCTCAGCAGGATTCCAAGTCACAATTTTTCAGGTGCAGTCAACAATCAGAAAAATTCCCCTAAACCAGATCTTAAGTACAATATATGTTCTTTATATTTATAGATATATATATGCACACATACAAACACACAGATATATTCATATGTATACACACATAACCCCACATACACACTATAGTATATACAGTGTATATATATATAGTACAGCATGTTCCTCATGTCACCTTTTACAAATGCAGGTACAGAGATATTTGGAGGGCATGGGGAAGAACTCAGCATCACTGACTGCAAACCAAAGTAAAAACTCTGAATGCACATTCTCCTCTATATTCCCCCCCCCCCTTCTCCCCATTAGATTAAAATACCCCCCCCCCCTTACTCTGAATTTTCTATTATCAGTAGTTACTTTCAATACCCATAAAGCTTCCACACAAGTTGCCATTTTCTAGCACTACTTTCACTTGATTCTTCTAGTCCTGCCTATTTAGTTGACTTCACTTGAGTCACCTGGTACACCAACATGGAAATGTTCTCCTGGGTACCTCCCCCTTACATTTCAGTTTTATACAAACTGATTCTCTGGATTTTTTTCTACTTGTCTGCCATGCATTCAGGAAGAGTACGCTGACTTCAAAAGACAATCCTTCCCCTTGAAGTTCTGCAGACACAGGTGCTGAAGGACAAAGCCCTCCCCAGCTGATTGTACTCAGTAATTGTAACAGGAGCAGCAATAGCCAAAAATAACACAAGAACTTTAAATGGAAGTTAAAGTTAAGTACTCATGTGACATACAAAGACACCTTATCCCACTCTTAAAGAAACAGCAGTTCTTGTTTCTATGCCAGCCTGAAAATAGATTTTATTTCCTGACACCTATTATATGGAAGTCTAGGCCAACCTCTGATCCAGCCCAGGCCATGGAAGATCATACAGCAGCTGTAGTACAAGCCCACAACTTCTGACTGAGATGAAGCACTGTTTAAAAAGAAATTCAGTGTTCAGATGTTGAAAGACAGAATCCACTGTACCTTTCACTAAGTTAACCTAAGGAATATTTACCTTTAAAAATATATGCCTTGCTATAGGCTGTTCAGCATCAGCTTTGGTCCAGCTGATTTTGCTCTGCAGCTGATTGCCAGAATTAAAGGAATTCTACCTTCTCCTTCTAAGCACTTTTAGACTACAATCATATTACCACAATCTCCCCCCCTCCAGCCCCAGATAAAGTAATCCTAATTATTACACCTTCAATTTTTTCAGTCGCTACCCTAAAAGCAGAGTTTGTCCATATGTTATGATCCTCAGTCTCTGTGCCAGCTTTCTCTCTTCAAATTACCAGTGCTTCTTAGCACTATGTTGTTTCAATCGTTACTCACGCCACTCTATATCAATGCTGAAGTGTAATTCATTGTCCAAAGCCACCTTTCTCAGCATATTGTCCCTTAATTAAACAACTTTTCTGCAACTGATAACAAAGCTCTGTGTTGCAGGGTTTTGACATTGCAAAGTGTTTTGAGCATTAGCCCACTAGACATAAATACACTGAGTTTATATATGTTTTGAGAATTTGTTGTGTTTCACGAGGGATAGTATTAATAGGATTAGTAAACAACTGCAGCTCTTTATAGACTACAAAAGCTGCTTTTCAAAAGATGTAGATTAGCTACTTTCATTGCCATCATAGTGAAAGACTTTGCTTTGTAAGTAAATAAAATAAATATCCACAGTGATTTCCAAATTAGACATTTCCGTATCTTAAAATAAAGCCCTGAGTCATATTACTATCAGAAACTCCTTTCCCCAACTAGCAGCCTTGACTAGATTAGGGTAGCAAAGTAAATAATCCATCTTCTATCCAAAAATGCCATCTCATCTAAGAGTCAGGAAACTTACTTCACAAGAGAAAAAACTAGTCAATAGTACCAAAGATTCTGGAAAAGATACCTTGAGAGAGCAAAGCATACAAGCAACAAGAAGATACGTAAAATTAGATAGTTTTAAGTTATTTTCTTATTTCAGTCTTTGCTTGAGAAAATGTTTTGGTTTTTAATACATTCTTAATTGCTACAAGAATTTCAGATCCTTCTATTAAAATGCTTATTAGCACTACAAAGGAAAATCCAGGCTTATCAGTAACATTAGTGCGAGAACATCAAAGACTCAAACAAAACTGATGAGCAGATACGGCCTGCCATATCTGTAACCAACATCTTCCACTATTTATTAACCCTCTACAACTCAAGAACAATGGAATGCTTTAATCAGGCAATATCCCTCAGCTAAGATTTGAGATTTGACATGAGTATGAATTGTGTCTTCATGTTAAGTAAGTATTAAAGAGTGACACTTCCTGCAACTCATTTTAGACTTCTACAGTACTAAGGCCACCTTGTTTTGGCAGAATGACAACGATGCTAACCTAAACAGATATTAAATAAGATCATTCTTTAGTTTCCAACATATTAAAGAATGCGTTTACACTTAAGAGTGGGCAAGAGTGGTCCTGTTGCCATCAGCAAGATTATTTCTATTAACAGAGTAGCTCAGCCAGTGAACCACTTAATTTTCAGGATTATATTTCTGCCTCTGCCAGAGTTACAATTTCGAAGTACCTTTCTTTACCAAAAGGTTATTTGACCTGTTGGAGCAGGTCCAGAGGAGGGCCATGAAGATGATCAGAGGGCTGGAGCACCTCTCCCATGGAGACAGGCTGAGAGAGTTGGGGTTGTTCAGCCTGGAAAAGAGAAGGCTCCAGGCAGACCTTAGAGCAACCTTCCAGTACCTAAAGGGGGCCTACAGGAAAGCTGGAGAGGACTTTTTGCAAGGGTATGTAGTGATAGGACAAGGGGTAATAGCTTTAAACTGGAAGTGGGTAGATTTAGATTAGATATTAGGAAGAAGTTCCTCACCGTGAGGGTGGTGAGACACTGGAACAGGCTGGACAGAGAGGTTGTGGATGCTCCACCCCTGGAAGTGTTCAAGGCCAGGTTGGATAGGGCTTTGAGCAACTTGGTCTAGTGGAAGGTGTCCCTGCCCACGGCAGGGGGCTTGTACCTAGGTGGGCCTTAAGGTCCCCTCCAACCCAAACCATTCTATGATTCTATTATATTTTCCAAAACAAAACCCAACACAATTGTCACAATATTTCAGCTAGTGCATTAGAAATTTTAATTTAATGTTGTCATTATGAATTTCTTAATTTCACAGTCTCAAACTGACTTAAATTTATGGATTGTTCTGGGCTTTTTAAAAAATTGCTGTGCAGCATTTTGCTGCCTATTTCTTGCTTTTTTTAAAAAAAGTAAACAGCAATATTTTTATATACACACACGTATATATATATATATGTATGTGTGTTTCTACTAAACCGGTGTCCTTTCAGCAAGGAAAAAAAACCTGACCCAAGACTTCCACTAGTATTCAGCAAATAAATCAGGTGCCAAACAGAATTTAGTTTTATGGCATCTTTCATATCCCGGTCCGAAAGTGCCTTTTAATGACGCAGTCATAAGACAGACGCTATGCTTGAAGAAATTCAAGCTAACAGAATTATTAACTATCCACTCTAATTCTGAACTCAGAATCAGCACTTGTTTGGCTGATTTGGAAAAAATGTTGCCTTCGAAAAGCAACATGTTCACAGTCACAAGACATTGTGAAACTCTAATACAAACACACATGACAAAGAAACACTCAAAATGAAATTTACCTCAGCACAGTGTTGCCTAACTGTCAGAGGATTAGGTTTGTCATGATAGTAAACAGAGCCTGAAATTGCTACAGCAGTCTCCTTCCAGAAGATTTTGTCCTCTACAGCAGCTCATGTCCCACCCAGCAACAGCTGTTCATAATAACCAGCAGCCGACAGTGTAGAGGAAGCCCTTAATGTGCCGCCAAGGGGCAGTTTAACAGATGGCAGAGTGACATACAACCACAATCATTAATTAAACTTCCACACTAGTCCCAAGATGCAGTGCTGAAAGAACTTCCACCGAGAAAGAACATTTTCAGATAAATGGCTGGCTGCTGCAGCCTCTGCACTCACTCTAGGACATGCAGCTGGTGCTCAGGTCCAGTCAGCATAGTCTCATTTTACAGTGTCCTACCCTCCTTGTTCAAGGGAGCTATGTTAGGAAACACAAGTCATCATCTTTCCCTATCAGCCCAATTTACACCCCATCACAGAAGCTGTAGGTAAGAGTAGCCATTAAAGGATGGATACCAGAAGATCTTATTCAAACTGCATTCCCTTATCAAGTAGGGGCTGGGAAGGCAGATGAGGGGCACCCAAGCATAAGAATAATAAAAAAACAACTAATAAAAAAAGCCCAGCTAATTATGGCAAAGGGAGGTTGATTTTTTGGAAATAAGGATTTCATAAAAAAATAGGGTAAGTCTGAAGAAACTTTGATAGGTGAGCCTATTTTTCTTTAAGAATCATGGAGTTCTGGGCCTTTCTTGTCCATGTGTATTAAAACATACTAGACTGAACATCAGAACAGATCTGCCTTCTCCAGACTTTTTATACACTGCTTTCTTATCCCTGTTTTACTCCAAATGTAGAGATAACACCTAGAATCATCTCCCTTGAGAGAAACACATAGATTAGGAGTCAAGCGGCAGCATTTGGCAAGACAATTGGCTTGCCAGCACCAGTGTAATCAGTACTCACTTCTAGCTTCTTCTCCTTCTCTGTTAATACATCCTTCTGATTCTGGGTGTACTCGATCAGCATGCGTGCCAGCTGGCGCCGGTCCTCCAGCTCTGCTGCCAGCCGGCCATTGTACTCTGCTAGTAACAGGCATGCTTCATCCACGGTCTTCGAAAGACGTTCGGCTGCCTCTTTGTCTACATGCAAAAGCGGTGGGTAATTTAGAGGACAAAGTTTAAAACTTTCTATCTTTGACAGAAGGGCTACAATTCACCAGCCACACCCACAATAACATCTCATTCATAAGTACACTTCTGGCTTGACAGGAAAATAAGAGTTCTTATCACAGGGGATATAAAGGAAATAGGCAGGACAAACAACCCAAGAATAGTATGTTTTAGACACAGACATGATCGGCTGCATTTTATCCTTGCAGAGATCTCAGTGATGGGGGGGATATAAATCTATGACATCAGCCTCTATAAACAGGTTAATTAAACTAAAACATTAGGCTGTACTTTCAGTTAAACAGATCAGGTGGTTTTCACATTTAAACATGGTATGCACTTTTTAATTCCTCTTTTCTCTGAATAACTCCTAATGTATCAATACAAGCAAACATATCAATTGCACACTAGCCTTCACAGTTAGAACGCTGTAAGAGCACATGATAAAGGACTGAATAAGTGCCAGTTCATAATGAGTTCTAAATGAAAACCACTTCCAGGAACAAGAGTCAAATCAGTTCAACCTTTAAATGTTTCTATTAAGATTACTTTTCATATACAATTGCAAAAGTGCATTTAAACAAGGACTGACAGACGAATGGGGGTAGCGAGTTTACTTTTTCATAGCAATCAAGGAGTATGCGTGTACTGAGCACAGTCTGATAAAACTCTGTCTAACAAAGTGTTCAAAATCAAACACATCCATTTGAGAACTCTGGCTGTGTTTCCTTTACATTCTTGCAAAATGCTGTTGATGCTCTCCAAGTAAAAAAGCCTTGGTCCAAGCAAAAAAAAAAAAAAAAAACACAACAAAAAAACCATGGAAGAAGCTATGCAAGTTTCATCTTCTATTCTACTTCATAGGATTGCTATTTATTAATTACGCAAGAGCTACAAAATAAGGACACCAAAGCAGGAATTCACTCCACCATCCATTGTTATGATTTAAAGAAAAAACCACTTCGATTTCTAAGTTATTCTTTGGACCCATGTTCATTCATCTTCCAGTTTCATACCTGTAATTTTCTCCAGTAATGAAACATCTTGAACTTCCTGAGGCAGGGAGGCAATTTTTTGCCGCACTGTTGCATCTCCTGATGCTGCATTTTCCAGGTCTTGTAGGGCTTTGATCAAATCCTCGGTCTACAAGACAAGTTAGCCAACATTAAAACCAGGTAATTTCTATGCCATTTCCTGTGGATGTGGCCACTGCATCTGAGGTCATCTACCTTTGAAAGCAACCATTTTTGGAATATTTTCTTCAAGTAGTTTTTAAACTGTTGCTTCCTAACACAGGAAGTATTCACTAAGGATACAATATCCCAGTGTTTAGGAACTTATGCATAATTACAGTAGGATCACCTTTTTCAAGGCTCTGCAGTGGAAAACTTCTCATTCCAATTATGAGAAGTGATCATTTAAGACAAAGCTGAAAAGAACATGACCACACCAGTTTGAGAAACAGCCATCAGCCCTTTGTTGCACCAACTTGGGACTGTATCTTTTAGCTGAGCATCCCTGACACTTTCTCTTAGACTAGCAGGAAGGTACATGCACCTTTTTGTTCTATTCCAAAGGTGCATTCTGACATACCAAAAAAAGCCCAAAACCTAAACCAAACTTGTATCAGTCCAAACAAAATTCTGTCACCTTTCCATTGTTGTAAGATTTAGAATTTTGTAACTGGTTACCTACCATAAACTTTGATGACAATGAAAGGTATCCCCGTTAAAGCAAATTTTATATTGTCCTGATTTTGCAAAGCCATTGCTATCCTCACTTAGCTCAGCTGGCTCTTTGGAAGAACTCTGCAATCTACAATTAAACTGGACTCCACCGTATCCCCTCAACTTCATCTCTCAGATGGTTTTAGTGCACTGAGGAAACATGTCAGTTTAAATGAATACACTCAAAACATATCCTAGCTTAAAAAGGATGTGGATGAGGACAACCTTAAGAGGACCTCTCCTTGACACACCGTATTTCCTCCCTACTCAAAAAAATAAAGGAGAGACACAGACTCCCTGAACAGGAAGAAAAAAGTGTTGTTCCTTTATTTTAAAAAAATACTGAAGTTTTAACAGGAGGTTTTTGAAATTGGAACACTAGCCCTGTAAACACCACCACTGATGTTTAAACTACATTTCAATAGTTTTAAAACTAATAAAAACACTGAAAAAAATTAAATACAATTTTTTTATCTGAAAAATAAAGAAGTCCATTACCTAATATTTACTACTTCTTTGCAAACTGCTAATGATTTCCAACAGTAACAAAGACAATGCTTATCATCAAGAGAAACCATAAGCTGCAAGGCATCTGGAGGTAAAAACAACAAAAAAATCTCACTTATTTCCTTGACAACTGTTATTTCTTTTTTTCAATGTTTACAGTCTACCAGATGGATGGTGTATTTTTTTTATCCTTTTCAGATAGACAATGGTTTAACACATGTTCATTTTGTAGCTTCAAAGGGTCAGAATGATCCTCTATTTCATTCCTACTATTTCCACACCATTAACATGTCAGTGTCAAAATAAAGTCTTCAGAACTGCTTTTTCTAACCAACTCCATACAAATCTATCAAAGGTTGAACTTTTTAATAGTTCATGGAAAGAAATGTCCTACAAAAAAAATAATTCAGTTTTAAGTGTGTTACAATTTTGGGTTTGAGAGATTACACACTGATCTTAGAAAGAATTTAAAATATGGTCTGTTCCTCTAGCAGTCCTTTGAGATTCTTTAGTGGTAGTACTACTCAGACCTTGGTTTAGACTACCTGAAATCACTCAGAAGTTGTACACTATTTCAATACGAAAAAAGAATCTGTTCCATTTCTTCTTCCATGGACTTCTCAACCCCCAACTGAATTTCTCCATTAAAAGCATTTTACTTGTTGGCAGCTCCACCTTGTGGCTGTACCACACGGGAGGTGGCTTTCAGAACTCCCACTCTCAACCCATCCCACATACCAGCAGTGGCCCAGCACTAGGGTCTTGGGGTGAGTAGCTCCCAGGGTAATCATCATCTTCCTCCTCTTGTATTTGCTGAAATGTCCGCTTTAAAGACTTCTTCTCCTCTGCAACTAAAGACACATATAAGCAACTCATTTGAATGCCAGATCTGCCCACTTTAACTATCTCTACTTCAAAAAAATTGTACCAGATGCTCTGATGATTAGGCTCTCTAAAGAGAAGGATGACCACAATTGGACACTAATGTTGGCATCATATTCCAAGCACTCAAATGCAAAACAGCAATAAAAGGTTGATTTTGCCCACACACATATCTCTGTACATCCGAGTACAAGGGTACAGTCTTCACATTAGCAGTGTGCACTGTATACATATTTGCGCCTCCTGCGCTGAAAGCAGGAAAGGAAAGTAAACGTCCTATTTGTCAATAAATGGCAGGTCTTCAACCCTGCTCACATTGTCTGGTTAATACCATGTATGCAGGATTTCTACCAGTAGAAATGAAGCACTGATGCAAAGATACATATGGACAGAAGAATTTCAAGTTATCCTTTTGCACCAAGTATACGCTCACTGTGGTCCCACCATCAAATAAATAACTGCTGGTTATTCAACCTTCGACTCTTCCATCAAAATAAAGACTTCAGGACAGCTCTGTGAAACTGAAACTCTAAGATGTGACAGCAACAACAGCCATGGGCAGAGCATGAACCAATCTCCAAGCAGGTAACCTGTAATATTCAGGAGTAAGGATTTCATAAAGCAAGGCAGCGTTGGTTAAATGAACCTTAGCGTAGCATACCTTAGCTTAAAGGGAAAAGACAGTTTATTTAATGAGTCAGAAGTCTTAATGCAGCCTTTGATCCAGTTACAGAACCTTCTGAATAAAGAAGACAGATCATTCTTCAGACTTGCCACCAAAATTAATAAGAGCCAGAGTAATTTGTAAGCAAGCTTTGGACAGAGTCTTGAGAACATCTCTTCAATGGAATCAACTCTTGCCATGATAATCACGGAGTTCAAGGGAAAGAGTCTGTACATTGTTTGATTCACAAGAAAATCCAAGATCACTCTTGATTTAAAATTAAATCAGCCTGCCCAATTCTAATGAGGAAGCAAACAAAGGTCTGTCCTTAAATGCAGAATTTTGCCTGCCTTGTTAGGTGGGACATGTCTGAAAAAACTTTTTAATGGAGGGAAAGTCAGAGGTGCTGTACATCCTGCTCGTGTGGGGGAAAAAGCTGAACGACCTTCGTGAGGTAGACACAAACACACCTCTGTTAAGAGAACAGATTTACTCAACCAAGGCAAAGAAGCACAGAAAACATAGTTACCCTAAACCGAATGAATTTTTTGAGTATGCTAGAGCAAAGCTATCTAGGCTAGAAAAGGGTACAGTCTAAGTATTGTATGTATACAACTAACAGAAAAGAGTGCTTGATAATCTGATAACCAGATCAAAAAGAAAAACAGCTGGTATCCACTGAGGTATGCGAAAGACACAAGCTGAGTTGAACAGATGTGCAGATGACAAAACGGCCAAAGAGAGCATTTTAAGTTACATAGCCCAATACTATGTGCCATCAATATTTATCACTGGTGTGTATTTATCAAAGTAATTAACCAACAAAGGATAAATGCAAGATAATCAATATAAGAATGCATGACCACAGTGCACACACAAGTAAAAACGAAAATGATAATTGAGATTCAAATTGCTGAAGAGCTATTCCTGCTGTGTTGCTAACTGGTCTACCACAAGACACAGTATTATGCTTACTTACTAATCTAACATAGAGGATTCAGAACTCATTGTATTTTCCATCTGAACAAGACCAAGTGAGCTTGACTGGAAACACTCTGAAGAAGATAGGTGCATGAACATCTGCAGTCCTACACCAGTCGCTAGCTGGCCTACCTGGAGAGGTGCCACTCCCTGAGCGTATGAATGGCAGCTGATGGGACAAAGTGACCAGTAAGTAGGCAAAGGAGGACAAAGCAGTCAGCTTTGAAGTAGCATTTTGGGCATGAGTAGCATGACATAAATGCAGATATTGCACTTTTTTGCTTGGCATTGGTAAACAGGAGCAGCAGAAGACCTCATTGAAGAATCCTAGAAACACCATCTCCATTTCATCAAAATAGAAAAAAAAAACCCCAACCCACACTTATTTTCAAACTCAAGAGCATATGGTGGAAAAGGACCCCTGAAAGAGAACAGGAACTAAGGCATAAATTATAACACACCCTGCCTAGGTAGCCTTCAAAACCTGCTAGCCAGAAGTAATTTAACCATTGCAGCCTACACTTCTGAAAAAGCCTGTCAAATCCAACAAGAAAAGAGGAAAGCAAGCATTAAAAGCATCTAAAAGTGATCAGAACTCGGCAATGGTATGTAACACGTATCTTCTGAAACAATCAAGATATGCTTGTAGAATATGGACAGCTTCTTCCAGGAAAACCAAGAGCCCATTCTTGACACAGACATAAAGAAGATAGAGAAGCCACTACTAGGGATGAAGTCAGCTTTCCTGCTTCGTTGTGGTCTTCTTCACAGCTCAGAAATTGAGCTACTCCCTAAAAACCTTCAAAGAGCAAAGCACTGCGTTTCTCCAGAATGACAGACAGTTGCTGTCGTACCAGCTTTGCAGTGAAACTCGAGGTTGTTGTTATCCTGCTGTTGCAGTGTCCAGAGAGACATGTAAAGGTATTTCTCCACCAATTTTTCAGTCTTCAAACCATCTCCAGTGGCTTGAGCCTCCAGTGTGAAAGACCTTAGTGACAAAGCATGAGTTTTTCCTGTAAGCTGGCAACAAGGGAGATCTTCCCATCTAGGGTGTTCACCTCTTTGTTCTCATCTCTTGATGACTGGTTTTAGAGGTAAACAGGCTTCTTTAATTTGACTCCAGCCTCACATGCATAGTAAAGAGAAACCAACTGTGGAATCTGTACACACATATTCAGAGGGATAACGAAGAGTTTAAAACTTTGCTCTGTTAAAAACAGTGGGTTTATGTGGGTTTTTTTTAAATCTCAAGGCAATATAAAATTATTATCTTCTCTCATGAGGACTTGGTTACATTCATCTCCTCATTCAAGAAGCAGCCACACCACATGGTAAGGAACTCCCCATATAGATAATGCCTTTCACTGGAGGGAACTAAGCAAAGGGCTCAGATTTTTTTTAAAAAACAAATAGTCCTTAATTCACATGAGGATCTATCAGTCTCAGCACAGCTACATCATGAGCCTTTTCTGACAGTTAAGCATACAGTTATATGACAAGTTGCATGAGCAGAAACTTCTGTCTACAGGGAAACATGCAAGGAAATGCCAGTTAACAGATACTGTAGTTCTAGAATAACAGGCAAACCTGTAAAACAAGGGTTTCTACTTCTGAAGTTCTATAGGTAACTGTTTACTTGAAAGGTAGACCAGCTGAATTTAAGGGTTTTTTTTATCTGTTGGCAGGGCTATCAGCCTCAATCAGCATAACAAAAAATAAGCCTCCCAAAACTGTAACTAAAATCAAACTTTTGTAAGCTTTAGGTTCTAAGCAGCAGGGATTTAGCAAGTTGTGCAAGATCCCAGTAAACTTATATGAAAGACACTTTCAGAAAGTGATTTAGGACAAAACACTGAATACAACAACAAAAAATAGACAGCTTTCCTAAAACAGAAGACCATCACAGAACACCAGAGGAGACAGAAAAAAAACAAAATAAGAGAAACCTAATGGTCCAGCATACCCTCCAACTGTTCTAACCATTTGTTTCTTTGGGGGTAGATTACTCACAATTGTTTTAAGTTCTCATTACAACATACATTTGTTGGTAGCCTCTCTTAGGTCAAGCATAACTGGAGTTGATCTGGTCCAAAATTATACCTAGTCCTGTCCCCAGGTGCCTTTATTTCAGTTATTCTTGGAAGCATCCCTGCCTGCTCTCCTCTCTGATGTTTTTCTCCATATTTTAATATGGATCTGACCTCTTGTGCCAGCATTTGCAATATAAACACAATCAGAGCAGATGGGTAGCAGTTCAGTTCTGTGTTATAGTGTGACACTCCTACATCAGAGCATATTCAAGGACTTCAACTGCTTATTACAAAGACAATGAAAAAAAAGAAGTCAGCTATATAGGTTATATTACCTAAAGGTTTTTATATCAAACCTCTACAGACCTGGTTTTCCCAGGCTTTAAGATAAATGGGTGGTTCTCTTCCCTATTGCTTGTAAAAAGAAACATTCTAATAAAAATGAGATTAATGAGAAAGAAAATGCAAGCTTAATGAATACGTTTAGAGTAAAACAATAGAAAATATCAATATTCAAAAGCTCATTTCAATGTGTATGCATATTTCCTTAAGGGACCCGAAAGACTAAAATACAGTAGTATGCTGCACCACTGAGGAAGTCAAAAACAGCGAACATAATGCTTAGAAAGGGCCAGTAGTCTTTCCCCACCACCTCCCTGAAGGGAAAGCTTCATTATTTGTGCAATCAACTCTGTTCCATGGCAGGAACTTCCCATGTGCCACCAACTGAATTGCTGTATGTTTACCCAAGGCCTTGCTACTAATGAAACAAGAAATAAGCTGCACCATTGAAACACGCACTGATAAGCTCTAAACGTGTTTTTCCTCACAGATACAGGACTCTGCTTTATTTTGGCAGGTTTCACAAATCTGCAACCCAAGCAGAGCCATCCTGTTCAGAAAGCAACACCTACCAGCCCAGGAATTTAAGACACTGCAATATGAAAAAACCATAGAGAACCACCTGCACAGACTTGTTGCCATACCTTAGGCTGAAGAAAAGAATTATCACAGCATTATCACACACAATTATCACAGTGTCAGATAGTCCTAAGGAGCTTCAAAATTTTGTTTTAATGGCACAGCCTTGCACCAATCTACAGATACTAATACTACCTATTTCTCAGCTATGTCTATCTTGGGTGTACACAAAACCAGGAAGTCAGAATGGTTCGGGAGGAGCAGTGTACTATGGTTTTCCATGTTTATGATAAACATTATACCTGTAAAACATGATACATTGTTGTCCATCTTGCTTATGTTCACCTGTTTGAAAACAGACTAGAATAACTACAACAAAGCCTTCTGCAACATAGTTGCCCACCAGAAACCGGACAAACATCAATTTACCTTAGAAATCACAAAAATCCCATGAGAAACTAGCTCTTACCATTAAGAAGCTAATTTGAAAACAAGCCAGTCAAAACAAGGAGAAAACCTTAGAACTCCACTGAGTTTTTCAAATTTATTTTTCTCTTGGTTTAAAAATCTCAATTTCTTTTTTACAATGAATTGACAAGGCGGCAGCAATACTCACACTCATGAAAGGGCCTAAACTGTTCTCTCAAATAAAAGATACTACATTAGTATCTCCAATTACCCAGAAGAAAATTCAGTTTCTTGCCAAGTGAAGATGTGCACACAGCAGTTCTTAAAATGTTTGTATTTTTTTTCATTCTGTTTCCTGCAAAGGTCTGTTACACTTAGGAAGGGTTTGATTTTGTATAAACATTTTTAAGTTGAGACGATTAACAGTAGCAGGACTGATTGATACCACCAGCCAAAGGAAGGGGGACACCGAGTGACAGTTGGATGTCAATTAACCAGGAAATCACAGCTGTGGTTCTTGGACACACAGTATGGTTTTGTTTAGATTAAAAGTTAAACACTTGTGAAACACTTATCTAGATACCTTGAACAGTTTCAAATCCTCTGTTACATCAGTTCAACAGGAATTCAGGCATATAAATTCTGTCCTTTCATGACAAACAGGTGTCATGCATTGCACCCAGACAACAGAAAAACCCCAACATGAACTGTTTCATGTAGAGACTGTACACCTTCCACCCTTCCCCTCTCCCACCACCCAGAGCAGAGACTCCGTCTGTCCTGATATGGAAGAGACAACCCCTTCGGTCAGGTCAGTTGGTCTCCCAGCGTTTGGGGAAAAAATGGCAATACCCTCTGAATGTTGTACTTAAATTACACTAAGTTGCAAGGCCTCTGTCGCAAACTGCTAAAGCACCCATCCAGTAGTTTTGCCTGAAGAAGCATTTGAAGACAGCCATAGACATATGTCTTCACATGCATGTCTCATATTAATGCTCATGTCTTCATATTAATTCTGTATTAACTACCAACTCCAGTAGACATATCTTGCTTGTTTTCACCACCTAAGAACGGTATAAGAGCACTTTACTAACGACTAAGCCAACTCTCTCACAAAGCACCGCACCTCTGTGGGGAACAGAGCAAAATTTGGTCAAAGCAGCAATGTGATTTTAGCTGATTTGAAAAACACTGACGCTTCCTTTAGCTGCGAAGTGGCCAAATATTCCCTTGACCAGAACATTCTTGATTTTTAATGACCCTCACCTTCCATAGGTTAGGCATCCTACTGCTTCCCTCTCTTCATTACAGTACTACCAGTTAAATACTTTCAGATGCTATAGAAGAAGAGGCAATATCTGCCGAAGCAGTATAAAAGCACAGTAAACACAAGCAGCTTATACTTAGTTTCTCACATCTGTGTCTCATGGAGTAATAAGGTTATAACCGTGATGTTCTAATGATGTTAAATGATGCAAAGTTATTGTTTTCCCCAAATGACATCAGCTGGTGTAAGAAAAAAGAAAACAGACGGGCTTCCGGGCATATATTCCAGGCTTCAATTATTAAGAAGTCCTTGCTGAATCATAATAAAATACAGTAACTACGCAAAATGAAAACAATTAATATGAGAATGAAAGCACTAACAATATTGAATAAACCATTATAACAACCCAGCTGACCAATCTCAGAGACGTAGAGTGGGACAATTTTAACTCTCAAGGTGGATGCAACAGTTCCCTGCATGCTACTTACTTGCATTCACATCAAAAGGCAGCCCTGGAGTATTCTGTCTGCATGAGCAGAAGCAGACATTACCTTAAGTTAAGCTTACTGCCAGCCTCAAGTCACATGGCAACACACTTGCAAACTGGAACTGCTGGTTTAACGAAAATCAGACTTCTCTCAAGACAATCCTGAAAAATCTCCATGACCAGCTCTGGCAACGACTCAACTACAGGAGCCCAGAGCTCAACTCCGCACAGTACTTTTAGTGAAATGTGTACCAATTTAAAAAAACAAAATACAGCACACAAGAAAAGCAATATGCATTTACCTTTAGTTTGGGGGCTATTGGAGTCTTCCATAGAAAGTTTCAGTTGCTGTATGAACTCACTGCCATACACACTCCTTTCTTGCCAGATGTTAAGCAATCGTTCCAAGGGCTTTTTGCAGCCCTCATCTGCTTCTCTGTTCAAAGATTAGAAAATAATTATAGTTCGGGTGGAAAATATTCCTTATGTTTTAAGAGAGCATCTTCCAAACTAGCAGCTGCATCCATTGCAATGTTTGCACGTTTGGAGAGAGTCTCTCTCATATTGTCTGAGACAAACTGTACAAAACACATTTGTGGCCAATTTTCCCCTTTTCCTGGAACCAAAGATTGCCTCAAAGTGCCCCATGTTCCCATGTTGTAAGGGCAGGAAAAGTTTTGGAGGAAGAAACTTGCTATCATTCAGTATTTGCAAGAAGAGTTACATAATACCCCCAAGTTGACATGTTTACAATTCAGAGTGTTAACTTTGAACAGTTGTTTCAGTCAGTAACATCCCAATTAAAAAGCAGGTTATTTGGATCATTACGCACTTAAATGTACTCATATAGTGCACTGAAAGTTAGACAGCCATCCAGAACAGCATACCACTAAACACACAGAACACTGAAGTTTAGTTGAGATAATAGAAATTATTATGCCATTTAGAGAAAATCTTAACTAAATCATAGTCCATTTTTGATAGGATGGTAGCTGCATCACTCTTTCCCTTTTATGTATAAAATTCTCCCTTCCTCTATCAAGGAGACTAATGATCAGATAACCATTAAAACAAGCAATACAAGAAGAAACCATGCTCAAACCAGAAGACTGATGAGAATCCAGTGGCCAAAAATATCAGCTCTTTTAAAGTCTTCTGACAATGGGGAAGAGCCATTTATTATGTGGCTTTAATAAACACATGCAACTATTCAGTTTCACTGCCCACGAACAGATCTGCAAGATCTTTTAGTAACAATTAAAATAAAGTACGTAGAAGTTGCATGCCGAGAACAAATGTGTAAAGCTGTGAGGGGCTGATTCACATACAAAGAAGTTTGCCCAAAGGGAAATATTAACACTAAACAGTTCCTAGCCACGAAGCAGTCAGAATCCAATCTCTACTAGAGAGAGGGTACAAGCATCCCTGAGACTTAAAAAAAACAAACAAAAACAAAAAACCCCACAAAAACCAAACCAACCAAACAAAAAAAACCACAACAAAAAACAAACCCACAACAAACCAACAAAATCCAATTGAATTAAACTTTGTATAATAAGAATGCAAATCTATAGAGAGAAAAGTTGAAAAAATACGTAATACAGCAACATACCTGGCAACATGAGAAAAAGCATCCACCAGAACAGATTCAAACTCCCTAGTAAATTCAGGACCTTTCCTCTTACTGTTCTGGATGACATCGTTTGCTAAATATAGGAAAGTAAGTTTCCTACTTGATTTTGCTGGGAAAGGGGGAAAAAAAAAGAAAGAAGAAAAAAGAGAGAGAGAGAGAGTTTGTGTTTATTTCTCACTTTGTTCACTTGGAATCATTAACATGGTTTTCAAAGTTGCTTATAGCTTTTCAGTCTAAAAGCAAAGTGCAAAATATTTCCATGTTACCAAGGCAAATCAGAGGCCTTCAAGTCAAGTAGTTCTTGATCTCCTTACTTCTGCTTGGGTTTTTTTCCTAACTAATTTATGAGAGAAACATGAGCTTAATACTTTTTGTGGACAATGACACCTCACTTTTCAAGAAAGCTGCATAAGAAATAAACTTTAAATGCATGATTAAAATGAGCTTTTCTAACCTACCAGCAAATTAATATAACAATAGACTTATTTTTCATTAATTAACTTCAGGAAAAAAACTTAGTATAGAACCACTTAATTCAGAACAGAATGAAACTGTAGGAGAAAGCTATTGTGGAGACTCAAATATTTTCCAGACAATGCTGTGCCAAAGCAACATTAAATTTCTTCTGTATACCATAATTTTTCCCATCTTGACACCACCATTTTCTATTTTACTGCGGCCAGAATCGGTGGGAGATTCAGATCTCCAGACTGCACTGGCTGCAAATACGCACACACGAGGCAGAAAACAAAAGCGCTTATTTCCACAGCAGGCCAAACTCGGATCTTTCAAAAATTCATACTTAATACACTATAAATGGCAACTCCAGCGATCACATGAAAGATACTCCAGCTAGGACTTCATCAGCACCATCTGCTCCAAGGGGCTAACACTGCTGGCTACCCAGGATGAGAAAGGTGACACTGGCTGGTTTCACAGCTGCCCGTGGGGACAGGGCACCAACACTGACACTGGCAGTCTCCCTGACTTCATTATGAAGCAATTTGAGAAGTTACCAGAAGTTAACTTAAGTTAATCTGCAAGGAAAAAAAAAAAAAGGCACAAAATATTTCTGGATGATACTACCAAACCGTTTTTATAGATCTCTGCAACCACTTTTACTTTGCTTATCTCCTAATCCCTTAGCGCAATTCTGTAACGGATAGGTACTACGAATCCAAACCCGTAAAACGTAAAAGCAAAACCTACGGGCTGAACAGCCACCAACGCGCTTCACAGCCGGGGGAAAACGCTCAGTACGTCTTTGTTTTCCAACCCAGCTGCCTGGCCCGGCAGAGCATCCCCCCCCTCCCAGCTAACACCCCGCACCTCCAGCCGGCGCTTCCACCCTCTCCCCCCGAGAACTAACGACAGCAGCGGGAGAACGGCGGCCAGGCTCCCGCTGACCCCGAACGCCCGCCTCACGAACCTTTCGCCCTGCCGACCCCAAGAGCCCCGCGACCGCCGTGAGGAGGAGGAACCGGCCCCTCGACACCGTCTCCCTCACGGAGCGGCGGGCAGAGCCGGCGACCCCGCGTTCCGCCGGCATGCCGCC